AGAAAGTATCCGCCAAATCAGCTTGAGGTTGCTAACTTGGTTTACTTCTGTGAGAAGTCGTAACCCAAGTCCTCCCTTTGCTTTTGGACGGCAGACATCCACCCACGCTAGTTTTGATTTTTTTCGTACTCAATTATGGCCCAGACCACATAAAAGCAGCGCATAAGCTTTCAGTTTCTCAAATACAACCCTTCGGGAGCCTAAAAGAAGCCATCCAAAAGTTTGTTATACTTGCAATAACTGAACTTAAGAGTTGTAGACGGCCAGCATATGAGAGGAATCTGAATGTCCAGGAGGAAAATTTGGCTTATTTTCTCAATAAGCGGGGCGTAGTCAGCTTTTCTCAGCCGTTTGGTGAGGAGGGGTAGACCAAGGTATCTCACGGGTAAAGCTCCGATAGCAAATGGGAACTTTGAAGCAATCTCATGTCGCATACTATTCTTTACCCCTGCCAAATACAGAGTCGACTTCTGCAGACTAATTTGTAAACCCGATATCCTCGTAAAATCTTCCATTACATTAATCAAAGCTTCCAATGACCGCAGGGTACCGTCTGTGAAGACCATAAGATCGTCCGCGAAGCAGAGATGCGTTAACCTCAAGTTTTTGCACTTGGCGTGATATCCAAGTTACCTATCTTCTGCAGCATTATCTATAAGCTTTGATAATATGTGCATACTCATCACAAATATATAAGGGGAGAGAGCACACCCTTGTCGCAGACCACGCCTACTCTGAAAAAATCCAGCCAGCTCCCCATTAACTTGCACTGAGAAAGACGGCGTGGAAACACATATCATTATCCACTTGATAAATTTTTCCGGGAGACCCAAAGCAGTCATCATAGTTCTTAGAAAACTCCATTGGAGTGAATCAAAAGTTTTCGCAATATCGATCTTCATGGCAGAGCGAGAGGGACCAGCTGACTTGTGGTAATCTTTAACAAGTTCCGTGGCAAGCAGCACATTTTCCATGAGTAGTCTGCCCTTTACAAAAGCGGACTGGTTTGGGGTAATGAAATCGGGGAGGATATCTTTGAGTCGATTAGCCAGTATTTTTGAAATGACCTTGTAGATCACATTGCAGCAGGAGATGGGACGATAATCTTTCATCGTTGTTGCTTCCTCTTTCTTCGGTATCAATGCTAGTATTGTTGAGTTGATGCCCTTAGGTAGGAAGCCTTTACTGAAGAACGATTTGACTGCAGTAGTAAAATCTGATCCAATAACCCCTCAAGCGACTTTAAAAATTTCTGCTGTGTATCCATCAAGACCTGGGGATTTACTAGTGGGCATGGCGAATGGAACCTTGTGGATCTCCTCTGCAGTTACGTCTTTTATTAGTCTTGTGCAGTCTCCCTCCGTACAGCGATAGGCTAATAGAGTTTCCAGTGTGCTCTACGGTTACTCCTTCATAATCCTCCGAAATGTTTCTGAGAAATGCTCGGAAGAATCTCTCCGCCTCTTGCTTTACACCGTCCATTGTATTGATATTCTCTCCATTAGGTCCTTGAATCTCTCTGATTGCATTTCTGGATTTTCTGGTTGTTGCTGCATGGTGATAAGTTTTGTTGTTTCTATCCCCAACGTTTAGCCAATGTAATTTGGACTGTTGTTTGAGATTCTTTTCCTCCAGCTCTGCCACATGTGTCCATCTATCATAAGCATGTTTCTCTTCTACCATCACTAAGTCAGATGGAGTTGTCATGGTCACCTTTTGTTTATCACAAAGGATTTGAAAAGCCTCCTTTGCCTGTTTTTGTAAGTTTTCCAACTTCTCTTTTTGCAGCCCTCTCAGTTTTGGTTTGAGCCCTTTTAGTTTCTTTGAGAAGCGATAGATAGCAGATGTCGATTCAAATAATGCAGAGTAATTTGACCAGTAATCTTCAACCACTTTGCCAAAACCCTCCAGAGTTGTTAGAGCATTCACAAATTTAAAGGGTCTCCGAGCATGTCTCTCTTCCCCTTCAAGCATTATCCTACAACGCATGTGGTCTGAGCATCCTCCTGCCTCAAAGACACTGTATGACGTTGAATATGATTGCAACCATTGCTTACTGACCAAAACTCGATCTAGCTTTTTGCATATTAACCCCTCCTCCCGCTTGTTATTCCAGGTAAACCGCGGTCCATGAAAGTGCATGTCCGAAAAGGAGCAGTGTCTTGCTAAGTCCTGAAAGTCACGTGTCCCCTGAGAAATATGAGGGGAGAAATCATAAAGAGAGTGTTCATAACCAGCTAACACTTCATTGAAATCCCCCATGACCATCCAATTTTTATCTTGAAACTGTGCCGAATCGTGATGGTTTCTCAGCTCCTCCCATAGGAGCCTTCTCTCATCTTCTAGATTGAAGGCATAAACAAAAGAGCAGAAGAATTCTTCTTCTTTACCCTCCAGTGTTACTGATACAGTAATCACCTGACCACTTTTTTAACTGGAGTTAGACGGACTCCATTTCCCCACATCACCCATATACGTCCTAGGTGGCTGTGTTCGTAGTTATTTGGTAGAGACCAATCTTGAAAGACTGTTTGAAAGATCTGTTGTGCCTTATTTTCCTTGACTCTCATCTCTAATAAGCACCCGAACTGAAACCTATTTTCCTGCACCCACTTCTTCACTACAAAATGTTTCTCTGGCTTATTGAAGCCATAGACATTCCAGAAAAAAACCTGACATTAAGAGGATTTGGTGCGAGCGTTCCTACTCGAATCACCTGGGAGAATTCCTTTAGTGCTTTGAGCAACAGAGCCCATTAGATATTTGTGTGAAGATTTAGAGTCTCGTGGTAATAAAATATGGGTCTCCTCTTGTTTCCCCTGTTTCTTTTTTCCCCCTCTTTGACCCCTTTTTAATGTCTTTACTCTGCCGTTCTGGACTGCAGTGTTTTGTTTCTTGCTCCTCAGAAGGCTCTTTCAGATCTAAGGAGTCATGTTCCATGGTAGGGCCATCAACGTCAAGGATAGCAAAGCGAGATGGGGAAGAGAGATCTTCGTTTGGAACATCCCTTGTTTTCTTCTGTTTGCACTTCTTCCCTGGAGAAATATTTGTCCAAGCATTATCCTCACCTGTTTTCCCTATTTGTGTTTCACCCACAAAATCTTGAGTTTCCACTATCTCGCCCGGCTCCATTTCCGATTCAACTTCTGATTCGGAACTTGGGTCAGTTGCTGTAACCTCCTCTGAAGTTGCATGCTCTGTGATCCCCTGTTCCATACTCCGAGTCCCTAATGTCTGGGGTCGTTTCTCCACCACACCCTCCGGCTGAGTCTCTAGATTTTGAGTGACCTGCACCCCCAAGTCAGAGCTCTGTTTTTCTCTAGAAACAGAAACCTCAGCAGTTGTGACTCTCTGCTTTTTCAGACACTCTGTTTTCAAATGGCCCTATTTAGAACAAGTTTCGCAGCGTGGTGGAAGCCACGGATACATGTACTCAACGACTGCATCAATATTTTTGTCATGTGATTTAAATCGAAAAGACTTTGGAAGCTCCTTTGAGAGATCAACTTCAACGAAGACTCTTGTCTCGTCAAAGTTTTTGTATTGTTCAGTGTCTGGGTGAAGTCGTTTCGGTTCCCCCAATGGACTAGATAGGAAACCCAGACCATCCCATGAGAATATTCTTGGTGGAATATTTTTCAACACAACCCACATTAGCAGCATCGTAATCGCAGGCTGAGCCTCCGCCATGGGGGACCATTTGGAGATAATCATCAGAACATTTGCTATGTTCCACATACCGCGTCTAAGAATTCTTGTCCGTAAAGAGCTGTCTTTGATCCGAAATTTTACGGTTGTTGCATCAACTACGAAAACATCAATTCTGATTGCCTTGTTTCCCATAGACCATATTTTGTTTACTATGACATGTATTTTTGCTACGTGAGGAACAGGAGATAGAAATTTTCCGATGAGAAAATCCTCCTACAATGGAGTTGAGTTGTCAATTAGGCCATCAGGGATTTCCACGAACTGTGAGCCCTCTAGCTCTCCCATCATTATGACATGTTTCGACAGACTCGGCTTGTTTTGAACAATTGCAGACCATGTTTTCAGAGCCAGTTCTTGAGCCCCTCCACCTCCCCCCCCCCCCCCCCTGTCTACCGCTTCGTTTTAGAATCTCCTTCAGTTATCTCCAATGCCTCATCATTCTTCGGATCGCCCTCCATACCTTTAGAAACCGTAGTGCTAGTCAGAGAAACCCTTGCCGTAGGGCCAGTTATTTTCTCTTCCGGCGCACTCATCAGATCCAGCCGGCGGCCAGCCGCCGAGATTACCTTTCGCAAGTACAAACCCTAAAATCGCCTTTCCTATCGCTCTTGCCACGTGAGTTTAACTACCACATCAGTGAAATGCTAGTTATCTTCTTCTACAACTTATTGTTTGTGTATCGCCTTTCGTTACAACTTGTGATCGATATTCCTATAGCTTGTATAGATTGTAGACTGTAGACTTATCGTGTGTTTATTCTTGAGATAGTGAATTGCTGGTGATTCTTTCGCTAAAATATATAATCATTTATACTGAAATATCTGAACTCGCAAAGCACGTATGTTTTTCGTCCTATCTCGTGTTTTCGATTCCATTAACCCTATTATCAGCCATTCAAACTGTTTGATTGATCAGTGACTTTTAATTTCACCTCGTTTTATTATATAATTTTATTTTCATTGTGGCTGTGAATGAACTTCGAATGATAAAGTGACATTTGAACAACTGCTTAGGCTTTTTTGTTTTGTTTATACACTAGCGCATTGCATAGTAAGAACTAAGAACCATCAATAAGAGTACAAGAGAATAATACTATATATATATATATAATACTTATTGGAATTAATTAAGAGACCAGTATTATCAAATAAACAGCACATTGGACTAGAGAAACAGAACATTTGTTTTATTTTAAAAAAATCACGTTTGCCATACAAATAAAATATACTTTTACATCACGAGGTGTCTTATCGGTAATACTTGTGAAATTCAATAATGTGTGTGTGGTTTTATTTTTTAAGCACGTGTGTGATGAGGCCAGGGATATGTATATTTGTGAGATAATCTTCCCAATTAATGCCTTTTGGGTCGAAATCAAACATCGATCCTTTTGAATTTTTGCTCTCTGCTTTCTTTTGATTGGCACATAAGCTCTTAGTATTTCTATCGTCAAATCTGATAGAAAGAGAAATAGTATAGTGTAAATATACATTAAATATAAAAATTATAAACTTAAAATTGATCGTGTCACGACATAAAACGATGAATTTGAAGTTAATACGTAAAAAGAAAAAGAACTAATACGTACATGCCCTTGAAGAGTACGTAAGGCTCGTAAAGCTCTACCAGTCGCATCCCCAATTTGATCTTGCGGTTCTTGTCTCCGTATATATCTCCGTTTCTCCAAGGATATATTAGGTCAATTAATTTCAATAACTGATTGAAAAAAAATCATAAAATATAAATCAATACACACTATGAAGAAACAAAAAATCACTATGAGAAAAATATATATTTAACCAGGGGTATCATAAAATCGAACGACACACTAAACCTACAAGATCTATAGAAATTTAGGTTTCTTGCCAGTGTTGCCACTAAATGCGTTTAGTGTGGACATCCTGGCCTAAACCCACATGGCGAATCCTAATAACCATCGGAGTACCATCAAAATATCTAAATAGAAATTTCTACCATATTTAAAAATATATAACTATTTTGTATTGTATTTCAAACAATTGACTATTAGTACCTGTAGAGGTAGTTTGAAACGTATGGTCATGTAGAGGCTGAACGAAGCCATGGTTGATATGAGCCTCATTTTTGAGACGGCTATGAGCGAGCCATTGCGACTGCGCAAAGGGTTTTTGGTGAAATAATGAACCGCGATCTCATGAATGTCACCAAATGTCACTGGATTCTGGTGAGATGAACCCACATGGTACACCATGTAAATCCCTGAACCTCCGGCATGTGTAGCAGCAGCCGTGATCATCGCGTTTGCCACCATATCCACGGGTATCTGTAAAAAAATGTTATTCATATTGCATCACATTTAAAACTATAAAAAATCTGGAGCTAGCTAAATCTTACATTTTGATAAATGTTAAATTTGGGACCGATAAATAATTAGGGACATGTCTAGTGCGAAAATTTTACCATATCGCAGACTGAGTTCACATCGACAAGAAAACACTTGAGCACTCCTTTTCCGTATGCAATAATCACGCTATCTACAGTTCTGCATTCAAATATTGTTAATTGTGTGAACAATGGTATTACTAAAGATAAAAATTACTCTAAATACCTTGTGACAAATCTTCAAATATTTATAAAGTTTTGTTATGTTAATAACATATGTCTGTAAGACAAAGCGTGTTTAGGACCGGTTTAGACTTCAATGAATTTCAAGTATTTGCACAAAAAAAGGATTTTCTGTAAAACAAATCTTCCAAATGATTTTTTATTTTACAAGTTTAATACTTTACAAAAAATATAAATCAAATTCCCAAAATTTAAATTTAACCCGCAATATATTATATTACAGGTTAAATTCAACTTCAGGAGTTCCACCTGCAATTTTTGCAAGTTTATTTTACAAGTTAAGAGTAAACTTGCGGAAAACGCTTAGTTTTAACTTTTAGAATCAAAATTCATATTCCTATCTAATGGATATTTAAATCACCTTAGCCCTTCGATCCAACCAGGAAATGGTTCATAAAGAGTGCTTGTGATCATCGTGGGACGGATAATGACCAGAGGAAGATGTTCTCTATGGTTACCAAGAAGCATCTCTCCCATTGATTTGGTGAAAACATATGTGTTCGGCCATCCATGAAGTTTGGCCCTAATCATTAATATATATATACCAAATTATTTTTCTTCAAATCATGATTATTAAAATCTCAGAATTTGTTCCAGTCATCAACAATACTCACCTTTCCATTCCAAGTTCTTTCATGGAGAGATCAATCTCCTCTTCTGGACAATCTTGTTCATGGAGTTCTTTCAATCTTTGCTTCATCAGTTCCATTTCAAGGTTTATATCCAATTGAAGACCATTCTTACTACGAATCTCTTCCATTGCAAATGGTTTTTCCCTTATGAGACCCGGCTTTTCTCCACAAACATAAGCTAGAGAAAAATAGAAGACTACAAGTTTCAAGAACCGTATCATAGAATATAAACAAGGAAATTATTTCAAAAAGAAAATTAGAGGAATAAATAGGAAAAAAAAAACAACCCACCAGTTGAGACATGGAGAAGCAATTGTGCTTTAACACATTTTTTGGCAAAGTTAAGGACATTGAGAGCTCCAAATGTGTTGATTCCAAGCCCGACATCATATCTTTTTTCATACGTACAATAAAATAATACAAAATTTAACCTGAATTAAGAAAAAAACATAAATAACTTGTATAATTGTCTTGAATCTAGTACCTTTCGTCAAAGTTTGTTGTGGCTGCGACATTAACAACAACATCGATTTCATTTTGCATACGTTCTCTGAGATTAGAGTCCTTCACGCCCAAATCATTGGTCGAGATATCACCTGCGACCGGGACAATTTTTTCGGACAACAATGTATTCAAATTCTCTTCTCCAAGATTCTCCCTCAACACCTTAAAAAGAACTTTCTCGAGTACCTGTTAAATACATAATGCAACAAATCAGATTAACAAACAACAAGATTAACCAGCTATTTTTTATATTTATGAATATATATTCGTTCAAATATTATGTAGTTAGCCCTTTTTATATATATAAAAAAATATGTAGTCAAAAAGGTTTTGGTTTTATATAACCTCTGCCTTCAAGCGTTTTGTCGCGGCTTCATTGTCGGATGCTCTCACCACAAGGTACAGCTTCTTCACATCTGGTTGTACTCTCAGAATTTTCTCCACAAAAACTAAGACATATATTAATGATAATTAATAATAATCCGGTTAGGTGTTAATAGTGAGCTACTCTGTTTCATATATTAACTTAATACACATAATTATAGGTATGATACTTCCACTAAGTGTTTAAATATATATTATCTCAAGGAAAAAAATTCTCAAAGAATTAGACATCGAAATTAATCAAGATTTTGACGGAAAGATATGTGTCAATCTTATTTTGAAATCGTTTCCCAAAGTACAAGCGAAGCCATTAGTCAGTCCAACGAATCTTGAAGTATATTTAGACTTAATTGAGATGACTGACCAAAATCAAATGGAAAATTAAAGAACCTACCCTTCGCAAGGAAACCGGTAGCGCCGGTGACAAGAATCGTCTTGTTTTGAAGAAACTGAACACAATTCAATTCCATTATTTGAGAATAAGAAATGACAAATAAGTCTGTATGTGATAAAGAAACCCTTTGGAGATTGAAGAATATTTATAGCAACAAATTACGTAGTGAAAAAGTCTATAATACCCTAGCTTCAATAATACTTGTTTTACTAAAAGATAGGTTAATACAGAGAAATAAGAAAAACCAAATTTTGTCCAATGTCCTTTAACGTTATGGAAAACATACACTTTTTTTTTTTATCATATGTATGATATTATAAAAACTTGAAATGATATAGAATGTGATTCATAAAGAAATACATAGAATAAATGCATCTCTTTTCAGTGATTTCACAAATGAATGGAAATCCCATTATTAAAAATCCTAGAAACAGAAACCCAAAATATTGGGGAGCCAAAAAAATAATACAACTAAAACTAAATAAAAACAAAATTGAGATACAAGATTAAAGCAAAAAAAACTGAATGAAATGAAGCATACCTGAAGCCAAAAACTAAAAAAATACCACATAAAAACCAAATTTTGTTCAGTGTCCTTTAACGTTATAGAAAACATACACATGGTAATATTTTGCCAAGTTTAACTAAAGTTTAGGGAGAGGTCTTCTTTTATATATATATATATATTTTTAAATGCATTACTACTTCAAAAACAAATCCAATGCAAGAAAATAATTTAGTCAGAAAACTGAAACATTTCCAATCGAAAACAAATTGAGACCTTCTTATCTGTAACTGATAGTATCACACTAAAAAAATTATATATGTTATATCATTTATTTTATTTGTTAATATCACTTATTAATTGATGCAAATTCAATTATAATTTATAATTAAATAACTTGGTGATACTAATCATATATATCTGTTGATACAACTATTTTTATCATTTCTAATAATTAATATTAATATATATCATTTGCAATAAATAATATTAATATTTGCATCTAATTGAAGTAAACATTTGAATCAGTTAATATAAATGATGTTAATATTTTTTTAAGTTATAATAATTGATTTTAAATATTTATATCATATATTTTAGTTGATATATTTTAGTTGATAGTATTATTATGTAAATTATAAATTGAGGATATTAAATTTCTTGTTAATTTTAAATTTTGTTTTGATTTTTGTAACACTATAAATTTAAGATAACGAATTATCTTATATTTATTATTTTAAGAAATATATGTAAATACATATATATGAATATTAACATAAAAAAATTTGGTGTGGATGATTTTATTTTATAAAAGAAGAAACTAGTATTCTTCATCATTCTTAGCAATGTAGGACAAATACTTGTTTAGTTAAAATTTTATTTGTACCATTTTTATAACTGAAAGAAATATTAGTGTTAGAGGGAAAATGAGCACATTTCATAAAAAGCTTTCTCTAGCAATAACCTAAGCCCATCAAGATCAGGAGGACCGCGCCGACTTAGCTCGGATAAAAAGAAAACTCCTAAGGATAATCTAGGAAGTCTCGAAGCATCAGATCGACTTAGAGGATAAAAGAGAATTTCTACATTCTTCGGAGAGTAAGGGATATTTCTATATCGTAAATATGGAAATATTCACCAAAGAGAAAAATAAAAGGAGTTCAGAGCAACCGACCTCCTATCCCTATAAATAAGAAGATCTCGAAGCTGAAGGGAACAACTCATACAATCTAGAGAGCAGCAGAGCTAAAACCAAGAACTCCAACGCTTTCTAGTTTACTTCGCAAACACTATCTTTTCATTTCGGCATAACCTCTCGGCGAAAGCCATCTTTTGTAATCGCTTCGCTTTACAGCTATTAATAAAAGATCTTATACTCTGAAACCCACAATTGTTAATCAAATCCTTAGTGGTGATTTTTTGGTTCAACAGTTGGCGCCGTCTGTGGGGACTAGGAGAATAAAATTCTTAAAACTAGCGACCAAAGAGCCAAAGCAATGAGCCTTCCGATCGATAACATCAACCTCACCCTCAACAACGAGGACACCACCACACATACGGAGACATCTGCTCTCGACGAGCACGACAACCCTACCACCGCGATCCTACCACCCAAGGGAGAACACTCAACGTTCGACGATTCCTACATGATCTTAGGAGGGGTATTCGATGACCCCAGTTCGCTCAAGGAAATAAGTCGTCACGAAGAAAAAGCGACAGAAGCAAAGTGCGATCCAATCACCCCAAAGAACGAAGCACCAGTGGATTTCACAGCAGAGGATCTACGCAGTTCTCACATGCCACACGTCGACCCACTGGTCATCACTTTACAAATTCACGAAAGCATGGTCGCCAAAGCTTTGGTTGACAGCGGGAGCACCGTCAATATTATCTTCAAGGACACATTGACGAGGATGAGCATCAATGAAAGCAAAATAACAACAACGGCAAAACCGCTAACAGGATATGCAGGCGACACCTCCTACAATATCAGCTCGATACATCTACTCACCTACGTCGGCGGTATAACCAAAAAGATGAAATTTGCGGTCATCGACTGCCTGACTATCTACAACGTCATACTTGGAACCCCGTGGATCCATATCATGAAGGCCGTCATCTCAACATACCATCAATGCATCAAGTTCCCGACACCTACTGACACGTTCACACTGCAGGGCGATCAAGCAACAGCGAAAGGAAAATCAGGACAGCGACTACATGCACGATAAACGAAGACTTAGATCCACGCCTTCCCTTCCACAAAAGACCGAAGCCCGAGCGGGTTAAAAAGGTAAGCATCGACGAGCAACACCTGGAAAGAATCGTTAGCATTGGCGGAGATCTCGCAGAAGATATAAAAACGGAGCTCCTCAAACTTTTACGGGACCACGTGCACTTATTTGCCTGGTCTATGGAGGACATGAAGGAAATCGACACCAGAATCACGTTGCATAAACTAAACGTAGACCCTACGTTCAAGCCAATTAAACAGAAACGAAGGAAGCTTTGCCCCGAAAAACACAAGCAGTAATCGACGAAGTAAAAAAACTACTCGGAGCTGGATCGATTACCGAGGTTCGATACCCCGATATGTTAGCCAACCCCGTTGTCGTTAAAAGAAGAACGGTAAGTGGAGAGTCTGCGTTGACTTCACCGATCTCAATAAAGCTTGTCCAAAGGATTGCTTTCCACTCCCTCACATTGACCGACTGGTCGAGTCAACAGCCGGAAATCAGCTGCTGTCCTTTATGGACGCCTTCTCCGGGTACAATCAGATCTTTATGCACCCCGACGATAGAGAGAAAATGGCGTTCATCACCGATCGCGGAACATATTGTTACAAAGTCATGCCTTTCGGACTAAAAAATGCAGGAGCCACATATCAGCGGTTGGTCAACAAATTGTTTGCAAGTCAGCTCGGCCGCACCATGGAGGTTTACATTAACGGTATGCTAGTAAAATCCACAGTCGCTAATGATCACGTCGGCCAGCTCAGGGATTGCTTCAAAACCCTCAAGAAATATGGAATGAAATTGAATCCAGCTAAATGCACATTCAGAGTGACTTCAGGAGAATTCCTAGGTTACGTTGTCACCTAAAGGGGAATAGAAGCAAACCCAAAGCAAATTTTGGCAATACTGGATCTCCTGTCGCCCAAAAATATGCGCAAAGTACAACGACTAACCGGGAAAATTGCTGCGCTAAACAGATTCATCTAGCATTCAATTGATAAATGTCCCCCCCCCCCCCCTTTTATCAATTACTTCGGAGTAATCAACGCTTTGACTGGGAGGCGTTTGCAACCACCCCGCCGATATTAGCAAACCCGGAGGACTGCAAGACTCTGTACCTTTACATCGCAGTTTCGATAGCGGCAGTAAGCGGTGTCCTTGTCAGAGAAGATCGCGGCAAACAAAAACCAATCTTCTATATCAGCAAAACTCTGGATAGAGCCGAAATTTGTTACCCAGCTCAAGAGCTTATGTAGTAATTATCTCGGTGTGGAAGTTACGACCATACTTCCAGTCTGACACTATCATCGTCTTCACCAATCAACCACTCCGAAGCATTCTGCACAGTCCAAGTCAGTCCGGCTGAATGGCTAAATGGGCGATAGAATTATCCAAGTATGATATCGAGTACCGCGCTCGCAGTAGCGCCAAATCTCAAGTCTTGGCAGAGTTCATGATTGAAATACCACCAGACCTACTAAATGATGAAACACCCGCCAAAAATTGCTGGAATTTGTCTGAAATCACCAACAGGAGAAGTCCTTGAACAATCGTTCAAACTCGGCTTCCCTGCCTCGAAAAATGAAGCCGAATACAAAGTTTTGCTCGCAGAGATTCAGCTCGCCAAAGAAGTAGGAGCGAAAAATATTCATGCCTTTTGCGATTCCCAGCTCATCGCCAGCCAGCTCAAAGGAGACTACGACGCGAAGAACGAGCGAATGTGCGTTTACCTGAAGCAGGTCCAGGAAATAACAAGGCAATTTGACTCCTTCGAACTAACTAAAATCCCGTGAACTGAGAACACAGCCGCCGACGCGCTGACAGCATTAGCATCAACAACGGACCCTGCACTCCATCAAACAATTCCAATGGAAGTCATTGAGCAACCTAGCATCCAGCTATCTAAAGGAGCTTGCAACATGGTTCTTCACCAGGAAGATGAAGCGGACGACCCAATGGAAGTAGATGCCAAACAACACAACCTTGGCAAGACAAAATTAAGTCTTACCTATCTGAAGGAACAGTCCCGCAAGATAGATGGGCAGCTAGACGTCTCCGGAGAAAATGAGCGCAATACTTCATTCATGACGGCAACCTGTTTTAGTGGACACCAAACAAAGTTATATTACGATGCTGCGACGAAGCGCAAGCAAATAAAGTAATGGTCGAAACTCATGAAGGAGCAAGCGGCAACCATTCAGGAGGAAGAGCATTGGCCTTAAAGATAGAGAAGCACGGGTTATTCTGGCCTATAATGATCTAAGATTGCGAACAATTCGTACTACGGTGCGAACCGTGTCAGAACCACGCACCCATCATCAACGCACCTACCGAGCTCCTTCAAACTGCTGTTCCACCATCCCC